CTGTCACGGGGGGGAACTCTACATCCTTGCTCAGCTCAGCTTCTTCTGATGGTCTTGTTCTTGACTGAGAGACTGGAGGCTCTAGGCTTCTTGCTGAAGTCATCCCTACTCTGATAAATGCCAGGAGAATGAGTACAAACAAGGTCTATAGAAAGAATCTGACAAAAATGTGTAGAATATGTATCAACTAATGGGGAATCATACATTAATCCAAGAGTTTAGGATATCCTTGGATTCCTGCAAACAGGATAAGACCTTGCTCTATCGATCAGCTCCCTCAGAGTACAAGTATTAGCTTCACCACTCCTCTGAAGAACTAGCCTATGATACCCTGGTGAAGGCCCAAATGGCTGAGACCTCAGAGAAAGCCAAGATTCCCTAAGTGGGACCTTTCTCTTGTCCTCGATTTTAAATCGGAAGCTGATATGGAGCATACAGGGTGACCACAATCAAAGAGCTTTCCATCAAGTCTGCCTTGATTGTGGCTATCATGTCAGCAAAAAGAGTATTTGAATTTGTAGCCCTCAGATGTAAAGAACCAATCTTAACATTCTTACCAGACTGGGGGGTACTCATACCTACTGTATGCTTGACTCAAATCCCAAGATAACATCAGTTTTTCATGAGAACCAGATGTTCTTCCAACATTCAGAACCTCTGGGAGTACCAACATACACAACATGGATGTGGGGAAAACTCTAAAACTGTATATGCAAGCCACAGCCCCATTCCAACTGTCTGTTCATCTGTTCTTACTCTTTCATGGAAATAAGTGAGATCATGCCTCATCCACATCGATTGTAGCTTGGATCGTTCAGACCATCCAGATGGCCTACAGAGCTAAGGGCTTGGCGCCTCTGGAGGCAGTGACCGCATACTCAACCAGGAGTGTGTCCATGTCATGGGCAGCTTTGCAGCATGTTGCCCCTGAGGTGATTTGTAGAGTGGCCTCATGGTCCTCAATCAACAGCTTTATAGCTCATTGTAGAGAAAAATAATAATAAACAGCGCAAAACACAAAACCTCCTCACCACATAACTAATATCAATCAACATCAATAATAAATACGTTTAAAAAATGTCCAAAAAAATATTGAAGTGTATACACAAAAATAAAAATAAATTTAGTATAAATGAAAAGTCCTTCTTCCCAAAATGTGTAATCCAAAAAATCTAAATAATCTTCTCCCAAAGAAATGTGCTTCCACCAGTGCAAAATCAACATCAACCGCACTCACCAGATATTGGTGAGTATTGCGCCTTTTAGGATTTTAGGGATCCTATGTCCCCTCTATATTCTCCAGAGCTCCTTATCCGCCTTGACTGGCTTGATGCTCTCCTCCAACTCACTCCTAGTAAGAGCTCCCCAGCAGTGCAAAAGAAAACAAATACCATAGTGTGATATTGCCAATACCATATACAGTATTATAATAATACCAGGCCACTCACATGTTCAAGGATAATTAAAAGCATTTGTTTATTGCCTTTATCGGCTCACACAGATCCATATGGCCAAAGTTCTATCCAGAGACCTCACAGCCTTTTGGTTTGCAGAGGATAACAATGCAGTTCCAACAACAAAGATGGCCGCCTGGAATGCACCCCTCAGCGTGCGTTCCACTCACTGGAAGTGATGTAGGTCGTAAGGACGGCAGACCAGAAGTGCATCAACGCATTTCGCACCTCCCACAGGGCGTGCGCTGGGGTTTGTGATATATTCATTATTGTAGAGAACCTGCTTCTTTATCCTCTGTTAATTTTGGTTTGCAAGTCTTGTCTGTTGACAGTGCAAATTAAAACTTTGTGCAGCATTACCGTAATTTTCCTTTCCTGATGGACTCCATAGCAGCAGGAGTACCCTCCCAATTTCAAGAGTAGGCTAGTTATGGTACACGGCCTCTGCCTCCGAGCAAAAATGTATAAAAGTGGGGTCCTATAGAAATTGGAGGAAATGGAGCTAAACCCACACGTATGCTGCCAAGAAATCTATCAGGAAAGGGAAATTACAATAGGTATTTGACTTGAACTGAAGGACATTTTCCATTTTTTTCACCATTTTTTTTCTAACATACTGTCACCAGCGCAGTGCAGTGTTCTCATATGACTTATGTAGCAGTGATCAGGGATACTGACTGGTGACACTACACAACTCTGGGGATGATCAGGATTTTTTTTTTTTACACTGATTGCCTAAAACAATGCTGATCATTGTTCTAAGAAATGGTTTTAACTGTCATGAATAGCTTTCATGGCAGCTTTCTTACTATAGTGATGCTGTAATTGGCCCACAAGTATCACATGGTACAAGTAACCAGGTACCATGTGTTAGTCATTGACTAATGACATCATTGCAACAGTAAGCAAGGTGCCATAAATGAATGTCATTCATAACAGTTTTGCTTGTATGTTATCATGTGATTGCTATGATTGGTCATAGCACTAACATAATACTCTGGCCGGTCTCTGTGGCTTGGTATTATTATTATAATACAGTATTTATATAGCACCAAAGGGTTTGCTCAGCGCTGTACATTAGCGAGGGGGACAGAACATGAGACAATACAGTACAATACACGATGGGTTCGAGGGCCCTGCTCTTTCGAGATTACAATCTAGGAGGGAGGGGATAGTGGTACAGGAGGAAGTGGCTGTGGGGGATGGAGTGGTAAGAGGAGTGAAGGAGATCGGTTGTTAGGTGAGGGTGGGGTAGGCTTCCCTGAAGAGCTGGGTTTTCAGGGTGCATATGAAGGTGAGGGTAGGTGACAGTCTGATGGATTGGTGTAGGGAGTTCCAGAGGATGGGGGAAGTCCTGGAGAGTCCTGCAGTCAGGCGTGGGAGGAGGAGACCAGGGAGCTGGAGAGCAGGAGGTCCTGTGAGGAGCGAAGATTACGGGTAGGGTGGTATTTGGGTATCAGGTCAGTTAGTTAGTTTGGGGCAGCGTTGTGAATGGCTTTGTATGTCAGAGTTAGTAATTTGAATTTAATGCGTTGGGCAATCGGGAGCCAGTGAAGGGACTGGCAGAGGGGGGTGGCAGATGTGGAGCAGTTGGTGAGGTGGATGAGTCTAGCCGCTAAGTTCAGGATAGACTGGAGTGGGGATAGCATTTGTTTGGGTAGGCCAGTGAGAAGGGAGTTGCAGTAGTCCAGGCATGAGATAATGAGGGAGTGTACGAGTTGTTTAGTAGTGTCTGGGGTGAGGAACGTGTGTATCTTGGAGATGTTGTGGAGGTGGAGCCTGCACCATATAGTACCACACACTGCGATCTATTGCAGCCACAGAATCATTCCAGTGCATGCCTCAGTGGGTTCGCCAGTGCACATTTGCTCAAGTGTTTAACTACTTATTCTTTAGCCACAATTCTTATTAGATTTAATTTCATGCAATCTACTGGATGTAATACAGGCAAACCCCATGCTCATGGTCTGTTCATGTGATTGGGACTGATTCTCACCAAAGTGATAATTTGCAGTATATTTGCAGATGTCCTGCATGCAGCATCTTTGAGTCATTTTATGTGCAGTTTTCCACATATGTTGTTTAAACAGAGGCTTTAAAAATCTGAAAACCAATGGTAGATGAAATCACACCTGATAAAGCATGCATGTTTTTAATGTCGCTTGGTCATAAATAGCCTTATTTGGTCTCCATTTCTATGTCTATAGGAGAATTGAATTAAGATTCCCTTACCATGTGGGCTACGATGATTGTTAACTAACATGGAAATCAATCATATTCAATGCTGGAGTCAAACTCTTGGCACCTCAGCCATCCCTTTTTCTTCTCCACGAGAAGGGAGAATTAATGTGCCACACATCCACCACTTCAAAGCTATAAGGAAGTATCTCAAATATAGTTGCTGGTCCTGGTTCTATCAAACACAAGGATGACTCCTTATCTTTTCCTTTTAGAAGGACTTATACTGTATTCTAGTGTATTTGTGCTGTACTGTACAACTACAACTAGCATTATATACATCACATAAAAAAGACGTGGACTGCATTTCTGCTCCAGCATTTGTTAAAGTAGAACTAAACCTGCCTATCCATTACGGATAAGGAAACTGCCATGTTACCATCTTGTTCTGCAGTTGCCATGATGGTGCACATGTGAATGGTTACGACACTGTGACTGTGCAGAAATAGTAGCCTGAAAAATGTACCTTTTATCTGCAGTTCCTTTAGTTCCTGGTATTTGAGTATGCCTATGTAATTGTGTGCCTACAGTGTGAGATACAAAGCCACTGCTGCCCCTGGCTGCCAGTCTGAAGAGGTTTGGAATGAGATACTGGGCCTTATTTGATAAAGTTGGTTCACTCAGAATCTTGTGCACCTGTGCATGGTAGCCAATCAGCTTCTAACCTTAGCTTCCTCAATTAAACTTTAGCAATAACACCTGTAAGCTGATTTGTTTCTATGCAGAAGTGCACAAGATTCTGAGTAATCCACCTTTAGTAAATAAACCCCATTGTGGTGCTCATTGTTCTCTTTGTTGAATGTAAAGGAAGCAAAGCCATGTGTCTACCAAGATGACCACATCCACACAGAGAGTGAACAAGGCATGGTAAATCAGTAATGGGGAAAGATCAGCTTCAGGGAGACAACAGTCAATATAGCTAACTAGTTCTTTGCCCTCTACCCTCCTTTGGCACAACTTCTAGAGTTCAGTTCCTCTTTAAAGCCCAAATAAACCCTTCAGTTCACATCCACTAGATACAATCAATGCCCATCAAAAAGTGTGCAAAGTCTTACAGTAAGTAGAAAACCCATCCTTGGTCACCATATTGCAGAGAAGGTCCCTTACTATCTGTGTAGAAGCAGTGGTCTCTCTGACACGCTCCCTGATGCATCAAATTTAATGCTTTTTCATCAGCAGGGATAAAATGTCTTGCTGTCGGCAAGACTAGAGCTATGACATATTAGGGGTCCTAATGTTTTAAATAAAATGTTGCTAAACAAGGATCTGATTTTTTTTTACAGATATTTTTCCTAATGAATATCAGAAATGAACAAGACAGTTGTAAGTGATTTTATTCTTTTGGCATTTTATGATTTGCATCAGTTACAGCATTTATTATTCTTTGTGTTTTTATTCACCTACATTACATGTATTGTGGGTAACATTTCCATCATTGCTCTTGTTAACTCAGAATCTTCACTTCACACTCCTATGTACCTTTTCATTTGCGTTTTCTCTGCTTTAGAGGTTATGTTTGTAACTGTCACTGTTCCAAAGTTGTTAGCAAATCTAGCAGTTGCAAATAATATGATTTCTTTCGGTGGATGCTTTACCCAAATGTATGTCTTTAACTCTTTGGGTGTGACTGAATGCTATCTTCTTGCTGTAATGGTCTTTGACCGACATCTAGCTATCAATAGTCCTTTACGTTATTCGTCAATAATGAACCATGTTTTATGTACTTTGTTAGCAATCTTTCCATGGATCATCAGGTTTGGCATTGTTTTGATCCCAGCCATTTTCACGGCACATTTGGAATTCTGTGGCCCTAATGTAATTGATCACTTTTTTTGTGACTTGGCTCCACTGCAAAAGTTGGCGTGTTCTGACCCTTTTGCCAGCAGTGTGTCTACAAGTGCTGCAGCTGTATTTGATGTTGTTGTACCTTTTCTCCTAATCATAGGATTATATGGCCATATTATTACAGCTATTTCTAAGATTCGGAGTGATGAGGGCAAGCAAAAAGCCTTTTCTACTTGTACATCTCACCTAATTGTTGCTAGCCTCTTTTTTGGAACAGCCATGGTTGTGTATGTCAAACCTCAAGGAACAAATTATGATAAATACCTTGCATTCATGTACACGGCTTTTACCCCTATGATTAACCCTTTCATATATACTTTACGAAACAGAGATGTGAAGAAAGTCTTCAAAAAGAATCTTCTTAAAAACAGGTATTTTGTAAATGAACCACTTGCCGACCTCCCACCAGAATTTTACTGCAGGTGGGAGACTCGTACAGGCACAAGCACATACCTGTACATCGGCAGTGGCTTCCAGGTTTTGAGTATATGCACACCCCCATCCCCAGGCTGACTCCTGCTGTGATTGGACACAACAGGAATTTTTTCAACAGGTTTCAGCAATTGCCATTCGCCATGTGATTTCAGTTTTTCTTTTGCTTATCGTTTATGGATGTTTCTCACCTCTGACCAGGGGCGGACTGACAACTCACGGGGGCCCGGGCAATAGGGGATCATGGGGCCCCTGTGTCCTTGCCAAAACTCAAAAAAGCCTATGAAAATGGTACCACGGGCATCCCATGGGGCCCCCTAATGACCCCGGGCCCTCGGGCAGTGCCCGAGTTTCCAAATGGTCAGTCCGCCCCTGCCTCTGACAAAGCTCCATTTTGAAGGTGTGAAACATGTTAGGCTCTTTTTGAGTTGTGAACACTTTCTTTTCGAATTGCATTTTTTTCCTTTTCCTACCCTAGTAGGATTATTCATGTATATTGGGATATAGATGAGATTATCCCTAAAGAGGTATTTTTGTGGATATTTGAAATTTGGGGCCTGTCCATTAGTGGTGTAATATATCCACATGGATGGGTGTACCTGCATTACATATCATAGATAGATGAACCTCACATTCTGAGATTAATAGAGAGATCAATTAGGTGAGATTAGTATACCATCTTCTGATAAGAAGTGATTGAGGATGAAGAGCAGCATGTTCCTCACAATGACATGCCATTTGACTGATGTTAGATGCATAATGCCAAGCCAATAGCCACATAGGTAAAGTATATGTTACCCTCCAGGTTTTTTAAACGGAATACAATATATGTTTTGTTACCTCACCCCATAGTAATTTACATTTGTGGTAATATAACATATCATTTTAAATTAATTAATACAAGTTAAATAAACATAATTAAATAATATGTTAAATAATATAATACATTTTTTTCCACGTGGCTTTTTGATGTAGAGGGATACTCAGCCTTGTTCAGTCTTAATATTTAAATGGCACATAAGATTTATGATTAGTATATCTTAGGCTTAGTTTAGAGGTTTCAGCCAATGATTTATGGCTGAGACCTTCTGATCTGCTGTGTCCAGTCATAGACCAGAGCCCTGTGTTGACAAACACACAGGGCTCCCTGCAGAAGGAACAAACAAACAGATGTTTAGTAAAAAGCAGCACATTCACACTTGTTACTCACTCACTTAACCCCTTGATTACCCCGGGATGTTAACTTTTTCTCAGCCAGGGTGATTAGTACAGTGACAGTGTATAGTATTATCGCTGATCACTGTATTAGTGTTGCTGGTGATGTCAGTGTCAGCTTGTTAGTGTACCTCCCAGCTAGCATCAGTTAGTGTCAGATTGGCCACCATACTATCACAGTCCCACTAAAAGGTCACTGATCACCACCACCAATTGTATAAAAAATTCCTGTATATTTATCATAGTTTGTAGATGCTATAACTTTCGCACAAACTAATCAATATACACTTATTGGAATATTTTCTTTTTTTTCTACCAAAGACATGTCACAGAATAATACATTTTGTCCTAAATTTATGAAGAAATTATAATTTTTGTTATATAATTATAAATATATTATAAATAAATAAACATATCCAATTTAAAAAACCTAACAAATATGTTTATAACAGAATTTTTTTTTAAAAAAACAGTAGTGAGCAAATACCACAAAAAAGGTCTATTTGTGTGCAAAAAAAAAATTATATAAATTTAATTTGGGTACAGATTTGAGTGACTGTGCAAAACCAGTTAAACAAGTAAACCAGTGCAAAACAAGTAGCGCAATGTTAAATAGCAAAAAATAGCTTGGTCATGAAGGAGGTAAAACCTTCTGGAGCTCAAGTGGTTAATGATGTAAAGACCTCCTGATGCAGTACACTTTATGCTATTCAAGAGAATAAGTATTTTCATTAAAAAATCTTGCCGTTTTACTGGGGGTCAGGTGCAGTGGTGACTATTGGGGCTGCCATGCAGGTGTGCTGTGGTGGGAGGAGGGTGAAGCTCACCTGTGGTGGTTAAATAATGGCAGGGGTGTGGTATGCAGTGACCATACTGGGGAGGTTTCAGGAATAGTGGTGAAAATGGTGCCTGTTGGCACAGGGATAAGGTGGAGCAGACGCAGTGGTGAGGAGGGTGGTGATTGCAGGTGCAATGGTGTGTTGTACCTCTGCAAGGAGCTGTCAGATTTAATTGAAATTCCATATGCAGTACTCCTAGGTAGGGGCAGGGAGTTGATGATGTGATGTAAGCTGTTAGGCCAAGGATTACAGTGCCTATGTAAGCTGCAGTAGATACTGTAGGGTAGGGAAGTGGTTTGAGCTGCCATGGAACAAAAATTAAAAGTCCATGTCCTATTGCAATACAGATTCACCTAATCCATGAACCTCTATGGATTTGCTTCCTGTTGGGTATGGTTTTGTGCCAATGCCACAGTGCATGCTTAGAAGGGACTTAACATTATTACCTATCACTTGCTAGCTACTGCACAGGAGCCAGTTAATAGCACCATTATTGGTTATCGCCAAGACTTCTCACTACACAGAGCAGACCGGCCATTCAGTAATAGTTCTGCTGCACTCCTCTAACCTGCAGCTGGTCCTTCCTTTTATGCAACTTCCAGAAATACATTGGAAAAAGGCCAATCCTTTCAGTTACGGGCTTGAGAGATGTCTTCAAAGTGGTAGTAAACACAGCTCAAACACCTACAGGTAAACATATAATAAAGCTCCAGAGCCCACAAACCCGGAAAGAAGACTGGGTGAAGATGGAAGCCCTGTCAGTGCCCTGCTGGAGGACTTTGTTTTCAGGTAAGTCTATGATAATGTGCATAATTAGCACATTATGCTCTTAACTTGCAGAAAGACTTTAAACAAAAAATTACAGGAGTTTACTACTGCTTTAACCACTTACCTTCCAGAGGATTTACCCCCTTCCTGACCAGGCCACTTTTTGTGATATGGCGGTGCATAACAATTGCCCGGTCATGCAACACTGTCCATATTTTCCCACAAAGAGAGCTTTCTTTCAGGGATATTAGATCACCAATGCGTTTTTTATTTTTTGCACTACAAAGAAAAAAAGGCCGACAATTTTGAAAAAAAAAAAACTGTATTTTTGACATTTTGCTATAAAACATATTTAAAAAAATAAAATTTCTTCATAAATTTATGTATTCTGCTACATGGCTTTGCTAAAAAAAAAATCCAAATAAGTGTATATTAATTGGTTTATTTGAAATTTATAGCGTCTACAAATGGCAGTATATATACTGGAATTTGTTTTTTATACTAGTAATGGCGGCAATCAGAGACTTATTGCAGGACTGTGGCGGGCATTCTGACACTGGGTGGGAACTGTGACTGCCACTGACATCCTCAGTGACACTAATACAATGATCGGTGCTAATAAAAAGCACTGACACTGTACTAAAAATACTGGGCATGAATGGGTTAACATAAGGGGCAATCAAAGGGTTAACTGTGTGCTGTGTGTTTTAATGTGTAAGCATGCTGCTTTATATTACTCTGCTATGCACAGCAATCCAAAGCAGCACCTGGTGCTGACAGGGGAGAGATCTGTGTTGTTTACATACAGACCTCTCCCCTGTCAGTGTTCCCTGGTGATCGCTGGGTGCTGATCTCTGGCCGGGACACGGTTTATTGACGTGTGTGTGTGTGTGTGTGTGTGTGTGTGTGTGTGTGTGTGTGTGTGTGTGTGTGCGTGCGTGCGTGATTTTGCGCAGCCCTGCCACCCTGTAGCAATTTCCTGTGGGAAATTCTGGTAGGTTAAATGGATCTTGATAGGGACAGGAACAAATTGCTGCACTGGGAAAGAGTTAATATTACAATTATTTGTTAGCTATTAATGATAGCAACATAACAGAAGGACATAATGGGGACGATTTACTAAAACTGGTGCACACAGAATTTGGTGCGGCCGTGCATAGTAACCAATATGCTTCTAGGTTTTATTGTCAAGGCTTCATTGAATGAACTGAAGTTAGAAGCTAATCAGGGTTGCTATACTCAGCTGCACCAGATTTTTTGTGCTCCAGTTTCAGTAAATCAACCCCTATAAATATATGGAC